TTAGTGGAAACCTCATAGAAAGCGGCTCTGAAGAAGGCGAAATCCGCCGAAACGTCAGCTTAATCGTGAACAAAGAATAGTAACACCTCGCATTTGCTCAACAAAAATACGAAGAAAATCACTTGATCAATGCCGAGGTTAATAGAAAGTCGGTCGTGGCAGTTATTGTGCTTAGAACTAGAGTCTCAACAAGGTTTAATTCCGATTTGTTCTCCCCAGGTCAGATCATGCCATGCTGACAGATGATTGCTGATAACACCTAGATAGAAAACTGCTTGAGAGAAAGGGAAAGTGAAAGCCACAGTCGTGCAGTGAGTAACACATGAGACCCTAGAAAAGAGGTAATCGCATGCTCGAATCTGACCTGGATATAAGTTCTGCAACTATCTCAGCATCATACTTGTTAAATCTCCCAATTTATAGAAAATCTAGGGATGCTAGAACTCAGCTGGAAAGCAACATAAAAAGTTAGTTCGTCCAGGCAGAGAGCGAAAGGAGAGTAGTGGATTACGGTTTAAATGGGGATGATGTTGGCTTAACGTTTTAAGGTATCCCATATGAAAGAAGAGTGGGAAGGTTTTTTTTGAATGTTTAGCTTTGCTTTGTTAGCTTAATAATTATAAATGAACTCAAATAATATGTAGTATTAATTATTTGTGAGCAAGTCTTCAGTGTCTTCACAGTTTGAACGATTTTTTCTTCTTGAACTTTTCAGCTGAGTATTTTGTGATTTGACCTAGAAACAGAGTACGCTGGATAGTCCCGATATATTTATATTTCTCGATGTCAGATTGGAACCCTAGTTGAGCTCCAGTGAATTCATCTCTGCCATCAGTAATCCTATCGATCACCGAGCGACTCGAGCCGGCACCCATTCATTCCTGCCACGCGCCACAGTTATTCAGTGGTTTCCGCTTGCCTAAGCTTAAATGAAGAGCGTCACATCACCCGTAATGAGTCCCTTAATTTTCCTCGCTTTCGATCAAATGGTCTTCTTCAGTGGCTTATTGAGCTAGGCTGTAATAAAGAAATAAATTTGGGATGTACATAGCGCTTACTCTCAACAACGACTCCAATTCTAAATGGCCTACGTTGTGATTCTTAGTAACTTGGTTGTAGTGGATTACGCTTATCAGCATGCATAGTGAAGACTGTACAACTGTTTTGTACAGCAGAGACCGATGGTTTTGAATCAGTTTGTGTGTAGGGCAGCTAATTCGTTCCGAGCTTAAAAATTCAAGTCACCATAGTGGGACGGGTCACATAACTCGTGAGTACCCTGTTCAGGAAGTAGGGTGATGCTTTCGTTTCTTAACTTGGAAAAATAGGCTGTGTAGTATTCGCTACCTCTATTTCTCTCCCAGTAAGTGCTTATTTCAACTCTCTATAGTTTTTTCACTATGAGAAATATTACTACTCACTTTCATTTTTTACAGCATTCTCAATGCGCACTTTATTCTTCCCTAGGCGTTGTTGTAAACTACCTTCTTCACAACGAATTTTCGATTTTTTTGCTGTGAACTTAGCTTTACGTTAGTTATTCTCTTCGTTTCAGTGTTTATATTGTGTTTTATGAGTTCTGTTTTCTTGTGAGATTCATAGCAGTGTTAATTTTTATTTACTGCCTGTTATAATTTTTCTTGACAGGGTATTACGTGTGTAACAACCACAATGATGCTGAGATATCTGCAAAACTCCGGACCGCAGGTGTCTGCGGTGGGGAACGAACGCGCTATTGTCCTTTCTGGGGAGTAGCGCGTTCACCACCACACCACGCGGGTCCTTCATTCCTCCTGTTTCTCGGCTAACAGTACTGTAATTGCGCCAATTTTGTTTTTACGAGTGGTGCTACATTTTCGTGCTTTTTTATTTGAGTGTTAACAGAGTAGTCGTCTCTTAATCCAGTCTGAATTAAATTGTTGATGTTCATGAAATGCTACGTTTAGTTCCGCCTCTCAGATGGATACTGATTATGACAACATTGAGAGGATATCACTGCATCCCCTACTTTCCTCAATACTATTCCTGAACATTTTCGAATTATTCCTGCTGTTTGCTGCTATTCTATTGAATTTGTTATTTCTTTGTGTACTTCTGCAGTATTCAGTTTTTCATATTCATTTACGAATAATATGTCTACATATTACATCTGCAGTAACCCTATTAACTGTGTATTCGCTGGTCAGATCAGTTGCTAGTGTTTATCAGGTCTTTGGTAACCAAATAATCACAGTGAGTTTATCCGATTAGTTTTTATTCCAAATATGTTTTCGAAATTTAATCATAGAGATGCTGGGGATTCCGAACCCTCGATCACTTCTATCAGGTCCTCACATGCTATCCAGCACACGAACCGAGGCCCTTGTTTTTCTTATCTCTCAGCCATGTTTTTACTTCATCGATGCTGCCAAGCGCTACCCATCAAGAGGATTGCATAGTACATATATATTTTAACTGGAAACGTTGTAGGTAAATTTCAACCTCCATCCAACTACGAATATTTGTGGACTCCCTATTAACATCTAGGACTCTCTATTCCAAAATATTTGAAATTTTCTTGCTAATATGGCTTTTTTTAGGAAACAGGCGACTCGTCTTCGTGTTTCTTCGTGCATGTCGTACCCACATGCTTCTGTGTGTTGTTCATCATCCTTCCATTAGTGCTGGTCATCGAAAGAGCAATTGCTACCGAAAAAGTTCGCGGTTACGAAGATTTTCACTTTCCATCTGGAATGATGCGACTTTGTCTCGTTTTTGTGAGTTGCCCTCTTATTTTTCCTTTCTCAACAAGTTATGAAAACTCCCGACTTCCAAAAGCGTTTAAAGCTAGCTTAATATTGAGTGCTTACTTAGGCACTTGAAAGCGCCGTTTTTAGCAAAAATGCAATTCCAAGCACATTATCCTTTTCACTGCTCTGTTGCTGGTTTAGAAAGATTTTTGCCCTTCTTTTGCCCCTAACGACCTCTCCCAGTTTGTTCCCACTTTGTCGACATATATAATCTGCCATTCTGAATCGAAAGGAGGGTTACCTTCTCCCTTGATTTCTTTTAGAAACGAAAAAGTTCCTTATAGCGTACTTACTCCTAACTGCACTTCCACGCGGAAACGTTGAAGTTCTTTTCATTGTTAGGGATCTTTCTGGGAATGTCACGTTTTATGCCGTAATTTAACATCCAGGACCACATTCTAACCACGGCGATAGTGTAAGAAACTTGGTTGAGGATTGATAACATCAGCATAAAGGTATAAAATATGAGCGAAGGCAAATGCGAAGACGATCGTTCATGATTTACTAGGGTTTCTCGGTACATGTGGTAATCTGTCGGTTAAGAGGCATGTAAAAGAGATGGACGTTTTTTTTTAGGTATTTTATGGTTTTGAGAGAATCTCTAACAAGGAGTATTATTTAAATCAAGCCATTTCGCGTACAAAGATTTGAACGCAAGCTTTTAAGCTTTTGCATTCTGGAATTTGAAGATTTTTTCTTTTTCTTAAACAACTCCATTGATTATTTTTTTTGTCTTGCAGTTGATCGTCGAGTTTAAACCGGTCTGAAGGCAAACGAATGGACAAGGAAGTCAAAGAAATCAGACCTATATGAAACTTGCCAGAAGGTTAATGAAAATGAGCATGAACGGGTGATTTGAAAAAGTCGAAATTCACATGAAGCGTAAGGAATTCAGAATAAAACACGAGAGCAACGTGAAGCAAATGTAAACAGTGAAGGCAGAAAACTGCAGAGGAAGAACGGAAGAGGAAGATCAGTGAAAGTGAAATCTCTTTGAACACCGCGATAATGGGAAATAATGTTGTTAACTTGGCTTCCATAATATGAGGAGTTCTTGAAAGCAATCCTGTGTCTCTGGAACCATTTAGAGTTTGACCTCGACGATCATTATCTATCCTTCGTTGCCAACTCCCTCTCAGTGGCTCTGTTGATGCCTCCCATTATCGCGGTGTTCAAAGAGATTTCACTTTCACTGATCTTCCTCTTCCGTTCTTCCTCTGCAGTTTTCTGCTTTCACTGTTTACATTTGCTTCACGTTGCTCTCGTGTTTTATTCTGAATTCCTTACGCTTCATGTGAATTTCGACTTTTTCTAACCACCCGTTCATACTCACTTTCATTAACCTTCTGGCAAGTTTTATGTAGGTCTGATTTCTTAGACTTCTTTGTCCATTCGTTTGCCTTCAGACCGGTTTAAACTCGACGATCAACTGCAAGACAAAAAAAACTCCATTGATTAGTTATACCATGTACAGCACCTGTCCGACTGTTGATTGTTTAATGATTCGAGCGGCGCCAGTAAAGTCTTGCTTACTTCCTTCTGCATTCAAGAGTAGTGCAGTTAGTTGTGCTCGCTCTAGGAACTCTAAGAGTTTTATGTTTCCTTTCAGGATGTTCTTGAATAATATCGACCATGTGGTCGATGCTCTTCCTGGTAAACGCTTCACATGTTGTTGAACCCATTTGCTAATGATCCTTGGTCTGAGGTTGTTAAAACGCATGGCGTTTGCCAGCTCATTTGTTCTTCGAAATTTTGGCCTATGAGACATGAGGTCGACAGTAGGCGTATGCTGACTTTTGGTCGTTTGCATTTGTCAGATCTCCGATTTCGCAATAGGATTGTCTACCATGTGACTTTCAATTACGTGCAAAACCTGAAGGGATAACATTTAAACGAAGTTTGAAGAACTACCGCTGCACCATCTTCCATATAGAAAATTGTATGCGAATAGCTGTAATTTGTTCAATTTCCTACGCGCTTTATTGAAGGATACTGAAATCGAAGATTGGACGATGTTGTTGATGTTGTGAAGATCTTGATTTTTATGCACTACTACAGGCTGGTCGTTCATTCAGTGAGGATCTTGCATTGATATTTAAAGTGTTGAGAGCCGAGTGTGTTGGTGAGACATGCCGGTAGCTTAATCAGAGCTAGTTCCGGCCTTTTACTAGGTTTTTTAGAAATAAATGAGCGTTTTTAACTATATTATTTAAGATGTCATAACTTGGTTTTAACAAAACCTTATTAATCAAAATAAAAGACATTTGAATCTACACATTTTTGCCAACAAGAAACAAGTTTGCTTATTTCAGTTGCATAAAATTCTAGAGTTCTGGAAGCGATGAGTTCGTTGAAGGCACCTTTCGTGTCATCGTGACTGGTGAAGCATTTCTCGCGCGGGAAGTTGTCAAGGTGCTTGAAGAAGTGATAGTCGATAGGCGAGAGGCCTGGTGAATATAGCGCATGAGGCAAAATTTCGTAGCCCCACTCGTTCAATTTCCCGCCTCCCCAGGCTCACATAGCCCTCCATCTCTCCGGGGTCGGCAGATTACTACCAGACTTGTTTGGGAGGGTAGCAGCACAGACTCGGTACATCGGTAGGCCACCATAAGTTATTGTGAAGGCTGGATATGCACTTTCTACATTTTATTCTCAGGGGAGGGGGATAACGCAGTGGTTAGTGATGCCATCCATCAGGAAGTAAAGGCAATAGTTCGATCTCCTCCCCAACGCCGCCCCCCAGTCCACGTGGTAACGCTCTAATCCGCCTATCTCTAAGATTGCAAGGAAAATTCACTTGACTAGCATTCTACGAAATTCATAAAGAAGGCGAAATAGTCAAGCAGCAGCTGAAACAACACACCAAAGGTTCAAAGACCATAATGAATGTTGGATGCGAGGAAACGAATTGAACGAGAAAAGCGCTGGGATCCGCACAGTGGATGTGACGACGGGCCATGTAAAATAAGAAAAAAAATTCTATTTGGCCTGCATTATTAAGGAGAGCTTAAGGTTTAGAAGTGCGGCATAAAAACTGCTGATTGACAAGGATGTGGCAGTGGGCTGAATTGATTTGTTCTAAAAATGATTTGTAGTTGTCCTGATCAAGTGATTTCAATGTCGTTAATTTAACAGATGAAACAGCAAGTCATGGTACTACTGAGGTGCTTTGATCTTGGAGGTAAAGGTAACATAGCAATTCCCAAGACCGGCTTTCTGTTAACCTCGGCGTTGATTGATAATTCGATGTTTTCCTTCAATAAGCAGACATGAGGTTGTTATTATAGAATTCATTTCGATACAATAGCTGACGTTTCGGCAGTTTGGCCTTCTTCAGAGCCTGGAGAGGTCAAATTGACACGAGATCTATTCAACCAAATACTTTCATAACCTTAGCAGATAAAAGTTAACAAATAAATGAATAAATTTACGTTCGCATAAGAAACAGCTTCATTTAAACACCTACAGTTTATTTGTTGTAAGTATTTAAGTTAGTTGTTGGATAGCAGCCGCACAATACATGGGCGATAACTGTGTCTGTGTCAGGTCATTGGATTAGCCTGACGTGTGGCGCCAAGTCACGAGTGATGACAAGACACTCCTCGCGGTTCATTTTTGAGGTTTTGGAATTGATCCAAAACGCTTCAAGAGTTTTATGCGCTGGTGTTTTGGATTCCTGCGTGAGGATAGTGACTCCTACTTCAAAATCTTCTCCGTTGTGTTCTTGCATCCTGTGCGCGCCTAGTGGAGTGTTTGGTTTTAATTTAGATTTACCGACCAGGTGTTCTTTTATGCGGACGCAGAGCGGTCTACCCGTTTCGCCAACGTATTCCTCCCGCACGTTTTACACGAGATCAGACAGACTGTACCCGAACTCATGCAATCACCGTCTCTATCGTTAGGGCAAATTATGCAGTTTTTCGTTATACATAGAGGTCATATAGGCGGTTGCGAACTAGCTGGCGTCTTAGAGTGTCGGATGGTATTTCTATCATTCTTACGGAATTCGCTAGACCGGCCCCTATAAAGCAACGTTTTATAGCTGCACTTATTTCGTTTGAAATTAAGAGCAAAAGGACCGGAGCTTTTTTCGCTAGAATTATCGCTCTGGAGCGTGGGTTTTCCTCGATGCCTATGCCGAGAAGCTACTGTTTCGTAATCATTTGAAATGGTTATTTGGCGCGCCAGTTTCGAGGATTCTTCCCTCTGATCTCTGTCTGTGCACACGCTGGTGGCGGTTCGAAACATATTTCCTATAAGCGCCCTTTTAGTGTGTGAGGGATGAGAGGAGAGGTAATGAGCCACAATATTCTTACTGCTTGGCTTTCGATACCATTTTGTGATGTAGGCGTTTTCGGATAGGTTGATTTGAACGTTGAGAAATGGAACCCAGTTCCTTTCGGTTTCTCACAGGTGAATTTTATGTACTCTGACTGTTCGTTCAATAACTTAAAGCATTTGTCCATATCCTCTTGTTTGGGGCAGATGACAAAGCAATCATCTAGATACCTACAGTAGAGTAATGGATTAAGATCGATTACTGGTGCTTCCACTTTAGACATAAAGGCAACTGCAAGGGTTGGTGCTAGTCGCTGTTCCATTGCCAACCCTCTACTTTGCGCGTAATATTTCCCTGACCATCTGAAGATTGAGCGGTTTAAACAGACCTTTAAGATGACCACAAGCTGCTGAATCGAGAAGCCACACATGTTTACTACTCCTTCGCATTGCTTTAGAAGCTCGCGGATGGCTTGTATTGCGGAGTCGTTCGACACGTTAGTGTAAAGGGCGGTAACGTCGAACGACTCCATAACGTACGCGCTTTTGGTTCTTGCGTTGGCAGACGGTCTAGGAACATTTGGGTGTTCGTGAGATGGGCTGGTGTGTACTTAGGCAATTGGTTGAGGATTAGATTTATATACCAAGCAATTCTATCCGTAGGTCTGTCTACACAACTGATGATGGGTCTAACTTTAAAGGTGGAGGGGTCGGTAGACGTAAGATTATCAGCGGATATTAACTAATAGGCTTGATAAGTAAGTATAGGACAAGACATGTTAGCACTTCGATCTTCGGATGCGAAATGTCTGCTGGTTTTAAACCTGCTGCGCTTGCCATTTTGACCCATTCGTTGCTCAGTTTTCGATTTAAACTCCTAAATTCCTTTTCAGTAGATGCGCGATAAAGAAATGCGTCTTCAAGATGTTTTTCCGTTATATATTTTTCCGTTACATCTAACTGGAGAGGAATTACTATAAACTCTCCACCCTTATCACTAACTGATAGCCCAATAGTCTTCGATTTCATTAGCTCTCGAATTTGTCGCATACCAGATTTTTGCGCAGCTGTAGGGTTCGAACCAAACTTTTTCGCGTCATAGTGGTTAAGGACTTTGAGAGTTTCGCTCGAAAATATACGAAATTTTATATCGACTTCGTTGTTTGGGTCTTGCTGTCTAAAGAATAATCGAGGAAAATGAGGTGGTGGTAGTGCCCCCATTTCTCGTTGGTTGCTCCTTTTATTTTGTGTCTCAATTCTTGCTTCGAAGTCGATATTGGAGTTCGCGCAGGCTGCACATGGATCCTACGCAAGGTTTCTTTCGAAATGGGTTGCGCTGGTGAA